TGCAAGGCAATCAAACCGGTCTGTCCTAGAGAAGATCAACCCTGACTGCTCTTTAGAAGGCCAGATCCTGAAGTTGAAACTCAAGTACTTTGGCCACCTAATGAGAAGGAAGGACTCCCTGGAGAAGAGCCTGATGCTGGGAAAGATGGAGGGCAAGAGAAGAAGGGGACAACAGAGAAGGAGGTGGCTGGATGGAGTCACTGAAGCAGGAGGCGTGAGCTTCAAGGGACTCCAGAAGATGGTAGAGGACAGGAAGGCCTGGAGGAACGTGGTCCATGGGGTCGCGGTGGGTCAGACACAACTTTAACAACAAGAAGCTTTTTCATTTTCTGCCTCAAAGGAGGAAATCGGTTAAAACCGCCTGAGAGGGATTGACTTGAACAAGCACCGGCATTGGGTGTGCAAGTTAAATTGCATTTCTTATGCCAGGAGATACTGCATTTTCTGTGCCAGAATATGGCTTTTCCTCCCAGTTTTCAACTTTCACCAAGGATGGCAAAATAAAAAGGCGATGTTTTGGGGGGGAGGATTTGCCATCTTTGAATGTTGGAGTTTCAGCAGCAGCAACGGCAGCAGCCTTGCCAGGGAAGCAATGATGCCGGTGGAGGAATTAAGGAATTGAGCAGCTGCTTTACATCCTTTTAACAAGCAATAAATCCTGCCGTCTGCTCCTCCTATCTAGGGTCCAATTCCGCCTCCCTTCCCCAATTATATTTGTTTTGTATTTAAAACAAAGTCCCTCCCTTCCCCTATATGGCGTTACCTTGAATAACCCATAGCAGTGGGATTTTTTTAAAAAAAAAATGCTGGTGCCTAAAGGCTGCAGAAATCCAAGTTAAGCAGCAGCAAGAATCTTTGTTGAGATTCCGCCTTTGGTATGTGTGTGAGAGACAAGTTTGACAGTTTTCAAAGCAAGGCCAATGTAAGAAAGATAGATCAATGTGTTGCTTCCAAAACAGCTCTTTCCCAACATATTATTGAATTGACCATACCACAAAAAGTTGGTTGCACAATTCAGACCTTCTCCTTTCGTTAGTTCACAACGTTCCCCAAGATTGTCGATGAGGAGTCTCAGTCATCCAGGTAGAGTTGTCTGGAAGTTGAGTCACGGCAACTGGACTTTTCTTTTTGGCTTGAATTGTTTTGCTCTTTCTTGCTTTTTTTTCTCCATACCAAAACGGAAGAAAAAGTCCAGTTGCCATAACTCAACTTCCAGGTTCACCACGATAGTTTTCTATCCCTTTATAAAACTGGCTATTCCATGCATCTTGCTTAATAAATTTGATTCATTCCTAGACACACAGTGACATTAAAATGAATTGTGAGTGTTTCATCTCAGGGGCTGCCATAAAGAAGAGGGAGTCAAGCTATTCTCCAAGGCGCCTGAAGGCAGGACAAGAAGCAACGGATGGAAACCAATCAAGGAGAGAAGCAACCTAGAACTAAGGAGAAACTTCCTGACAGTGAGAACAATTAACCAGTGGAACCACCTGCCTCCAGAAGCGGTGAATGCTCCAACACTGGAAGTTTTTAAGAAGAGACTGGACAGCCATTTGTCCGAAATGGTTTAGGGTTTCCTGCCTGACCTCCAAGGTCCCTTCCAACTTTATTATTATTACTATTATTACTATTATTACTATTATTACTATTGTTACTATTATCACTATTATTATTATTATTATTATTACTATTATTATTATTACTATTATTATTATCTTTGTGCATACACGGAGTATCTCCGGAACAAATTTGGTTACTAATAGCATCAGCCATAAAAAGTTTAGCTATCCATCATTATTAAGGAAACGTCTTCAACTACTAGCTGAAAGTCCAGAGACGAAACTCAACTTGCTGCTACCACAAAATATTAATTACAATGAAGAAAACACCCTATATTAAGTCATCGCATGATGTTTCATAGAAACTACAGGAGAGAGCCATCTTGAAGCTAAATCGTTGTACAAAATACATTTTCTATGCGGGGATCTCCAGAGGCAACAGAGATCAGTTCTGGAAAGCCCAAATTAGATTCGTAACGGTGAGAACATAAAATAAATTCCTAACACGACACTGCTTAAACGTCACCAAGCATCAGCAGTTAGAAGTTTAAGTGGGAAAAGAAATTATCCAAATTAGAAACACACTCTGATTTTTGTTGTATGTTAATTGAGACAAGTGAAGGGAGGGGTGAATCTGTTTTATGGAGATGTTTTTGTTGTCCTGACACAATCCAGGTTTTAGGTTTCTAGGTTCCCCTGCTAAAAACTGGAACCTACAGAAGTATAAAACAAGAATACAGAAAACAGACATCCGTTTGTATAACTGTGCCAAAGAGCTCTCTTTCTATTCTTCTCAAAGATAATAAAACCAGCCTAAAAGGTTTACAGTTAACACCAGGGACAATTTAATATTAATTGAATGGACATCGTCTTCTTTGTGGGGATTAGGCTTAGATTAGAGTAATAGCACTGAAGCAATTTTTATTCACCTTGGCAAGTAACATCACCCGACGTTATCACTCCATTATTTACGATTTCAGATTTATATCTTTTAATTTTTAATGCATCTTAAATTTTACATTGCATAAAGAATGCAATTACAGACTGACAAATAATATACAAATAATGCATTCGCATTTCCACCATTACCATTTTTTGAAGAAGAAAAGTAAAACTTCCATGGTGTGGATAGCAGCCAGTCCTTCCAATCCATCCTGCTAGGCGACTAGAGACATCCTGTGGTAGACTTATATAATGAGAGAAAGAATTCTGCCACCACTTACCATAAGAATGAATTCACTTGGCAAACCATGTTTGTGTTTCTGTAGTCCCAATTATTAGAAGCAACTGAGTGGTGTGGTACAACGGACCAACTTTTGAGATAACTTAGCACATGCCTTCCGCTTGTATGAAACGACTGCAGGACAAAATCTGAGCAACACAATCCAAAACTTGATATTAAAAAGTAGAAGAATTAAATGACTTTGGTCATTGTTTCTCAACCCCTCCCCAGGTCCTTGTAGTCCTTGAAGCCAGTCAACAGACCTTCAGGGCTCCTAATTTCCTGCTGCTGCTTTTAAATGGCAGGTCAGTCTGTAATAAAAGCTTCCTTTGTGTGCAATCAAGTCATTGATGAGAGGGCCAACCTGCCATGCATTGCTAAAACCTGGCTGGATCCAGAAAGGTGGTTGCGGTGGCCCTTTCAGAGAAGCGCCCGGCTCGTTTCGGATATGGCATCATCCAAGAATCCAAGGTAGGAGTGCAAGTGTGATGATCGTCATTCCAGCAATCTCTTATGTCTTTCAAGGGCAGTCTCCGCAGGTCACCGGATGTGAGAGCTTGTTCATTAAGTTGGGCTCTAGGGATCAGTTGAAATGGTTGTCATTGTCCAGCTTCCCTGCCACACACAACCTCCCTGCTTGAGCTCCTTTTCTGAGTTGGCAGTGGAATTCCCCAGACTTATGGTCTTGGAGGCTTTCATCTGGCTGAGAAGGTAGACGGGTGACAGCTTCAAGGGACCTTGGCTTGAAGAGGATTATCTGGAATTTTTTCCAGTCAGGCATAGCTATGGGACAGAAACAGCCTGGATTGTACTTTTGGAAGAACTCTGTTGTGAGCGGAACGGTAGTAGCGTGTCGATCCTTGCCTCTTGGTGGTTTTCGATACCGCTGACCGTGGTATCCACAGATTGGCTGCCCATTGATCGGCTCAGAGGACTGGGAGTAGACGATATGGCGGTGTGCTGATTTGCCTCCTTTCTCTGGCGTTGATTCCAGTCGGTGGTGGTTGGAGAGGAGAGGTCCTGCTCTTGGCCCCTACTTTATGGTGTGGTACAGGGTTTGGTGCTCTCCTCTCCTTTGTAACATCTCTATGAGGCAGCTGGGTGAACCCATCTGTTGCCATGGGGTGAGGTATCATCAGGGCATTGATGACACCCAACTATGTAACAGGGACCCAGGCAAATTAAGTGATGCCATGAAGGTCTGATCCTGTGGCCTGGAGGCTATGAGGGTCTGGATAGGGAACAACGGGCTTCAGCTGAACCATGCCAAGACTGAGTGGCTTTGGGTTTTGGAGCCTACTGCTTCTAGGATTATTCAATTTTTCGTGCTGGATGGGATTGCACTGCCCCAGACAGACCTAGTGCACCAGCTGGTGGGCCACCAAGAGCAGCTAGCCGTTGTGGTTAGGGCTTTAATGCAGCTTCGTTATCGGGCAGAGAAGGCATGCAGCAGATACCATCTGCTAGACAGCGCAGAGGTGGGCAACTATGACCCATTTATGACCTGTGGACTTCAACTCCCACTCCTGCTCATGAATTCTGGGAGTTGACGTCATAAAAGGGCCATATTTGCCTACCCTTCTTCTAGGGATTTACATTCAGTAGTTTTCCAGGAGGCGGATGTTCTCTGCCATGACATCTACCCGGGTGTAATATTCTCCCATCCCTGAAGTCAGATTAGCTCAGGGGTAGGCAACCTTGGCTCTTTTATGGCTCGTGGAGCATAGCTGACTCAGGAATTCTGGGAGTTGAAGTCCACGAGTCATAAAAGAGCCAAGGTTGCCTACCCCTGGGCTGTTAACTCCATCCCTCTTAACATCCTGGAAGATCCTCAAGGTCTGTTATGTCAGCAGGCTGTGGAACCTGTAACATTCTAGGATGGCTCCACTGCTTTGGTTGATATATTTACTCTCTCCATGTTCTGCAGTTGTATATTTTAATTTTTAATAATATTTAATTGTAATAACGATTGATTTGTATTTTTATAATGATTATTTTTATATACTTATTTTATTTGGTTGCGGTACACCATCCAGTCACTCCTTGTGAGACACATGTCCATAGAAACACAATCAATCAATCAATCAATCCAAAATCTACGTTACAGAAGTGTTGAAAAAGAGAGGAGATTCACTTAGGGGAAAGTAGGATAAAATTTAATAAAATTAACTATGAGCCTACTGCCACATACCTTAATTCAACCGTAGGACAGCTAAGAAAGTTGTTAAGAGTTTCTTTAATATAAGAGCTTCAAAACAATACCTTCAGAAATGGAACACATAAGATATACCCCATACACAAATAAAAAGGTGTAAATTGCATGGTAACTAATCAATATTTACCAATCAGCAGTAGAGCAATGTAATTTCTTAAAACTGTCGAAACTATCACAAAAGGGACAAAAATGCTTTTCTCAGTGCCAGACTCCTCCGACGATCAGAATGAATGACTCTGAAACAGGAACGCTCAATTTTTCGTCCTTCACGACATATTTAAAAAAAAAAAATAACATCATGCTTCTCTATTGCCTCTACACTTCTACAAAGCTGATAAAACTCAGGCCTCGACATCATAGGACTTTCTTTGCAACTGAGAAAAATTACAGAAAAGCGTTGGGAAATTGTGATCAAGATATCCTTAAAAAATGTCCCCCCTGTCTTGAGAAAGCAACTTTGGTTTTTCATTTTCTGGCAATGCGGCAAGTCATTTCATTCTCCCGCTGGGTCTATTACCCAGAGCATTATTTACAAGACCAAGTCATTGAATAATTACAGCTCCCCTTGCCAGCTTTTATAAATACCATTCAGTTGATGCCCACACAAATAAATCATAAAGTCTCCCAACCACCAATTAATTTCTCTAACGAATGAAGTACTGCACTCTTTTCACCAACCTCTGCCTGGGATAATGGATTCCATTATTTTTTTTAAGAGATCACTAAAAGCCTCTTGTGCCTTTTCAAGTGTGGCAGGTATTTTCTATGTTTAATGCTTACATTCTCCACGGGGTCTTCAATTCAGAGGTTTTCTGCCATTTAGTGCGAAATGCAACAATGGCTGTTCTACCCAATAGGAAGCTTAGACCCTCATAAAATACACATGATGACAAACTCAGTGAACATTCACTTCAAATTCCTTTCAATCATTCAGCATCTGGTACGCTGATTCCATCTACCGCACAAGGCTGTTTATACCCTTCTTTCTGCAATCTTGAGAGCCCTTGTTTCTTAAGAAAAACTTGAATGCACGTGAAACAGGCTATTACCACCTCTATCCTTTCAGTATGGATGCCGAACGGCCAACATTTTCGAAACGCGCTTTGCCTAAAACTTTTAGAAAACAAGCTGGTTTGAACATCTCTTCAATTAGTTACTGGAACCGAACATGTGGTAAAGAAGAGGCCCTCAGAGTGAGTATCATTTTTCTGACATTATATAAACATTTGAAACTTGAGCCCGACATCATCGGTTCATTAAAACTATTTCGGCCAACCAACTAGGAAGACAAAAGACGAAACTGGGAATGCCCAACCCAACTGGGATTCTGTGGAGTTTTAATGACATATACTTCCCTCAGGACTGTCAAAATGGATCCGACTCTTGTTTCAACATGAATTTAGGTGTTTGGCTGAATGGCAGAACTAAAAGAACAAGTCCAGATCCGTTAGGAGCTCTCAATTCTTCCAAATCCTAAAATGAATTCTTTGCTATCAGGAATGGCTTCCTGAACTGAACTGAACAGGAAAAGCAGAGGTCATAATGCTGGAATTCTTCACCTGCTGCAGAACAAAAGCGGCATCTAGAATTATTCCAATGTTCAAAATTAACAGAGTTTTTAATATCCTGTATTTCTGCATGGAGCTAAGCCTGGTCACAAGGAAAGGGTGCCTGGTGTTTCTGATGAATATGAAAAGTGTTCTACATCCTACAAAAGCTTTTAATAGAAATCTGTGGAAATAAAACAGAAAAATTCAAACGAATTGACGTCTTAACCAGTCAGTGTCTCAAAGTACACAAGGGTACTATATGCTAATAAAGCTCAGGTTCAGATACTTCATCCCTTCCAGTCCATATGGAGGCTGCTCAAGACTCACTCCTCTCCAACCGGGAGGTTGTCTTCGATCCGCCTGATAAATTTCATCCTTATTTCTGTGACTCCATCCCCTTTCAAGGTGTCCAGGAGAAATCTGACATCCACAGCCATCTGTACCTATGATGAGAGAGGAAAGTCCACACTTTTGAGATATTTACCTACAACAGCTCCCTAAAGTGTCAAACCCCTTTGAAGAGGACGGGTATTCATGCCACGATGCATCCCATTATTTGTGAAAAGTCACCCTTCTCCCACTTTATAGCCTTTACTGCACTGCCTTTATCGACCTTCCTGTCTTGCAAGCAGATGTGTTTTTTTCCCCTTTTGCATTGGGGTTTTTGGAAACCCCTTGATGGAGTTCATGATCACAAATTGTTCTTAGGACATATGACGAAAAGGTTCCAACGTCGCCCTCACTGATACTGTAGGGTTTGACTGTGAGATGCTTAGAATCCTTAAAAGAGATGGCCCATCAATACAATACACAGAGCTGACCCCCACTACTCCAGTCCTGAGAAATGAGAACGCTATTTCGGCCTTCACAATGCTATAGGGTAATAGCCTGCAAACTAACCTTTTTATCAACAAAAGTGCATCTGCATATATGGAGGAAATTTTAGAGATTTTTTTTTTTTAAATGGAAGTTAGGAAATATTTAAATTGATTCAACTGATGTTCTCAGACTCACTGCCCTAACAGAAATCTAATATTACCAAATGAATACTACCCATTACTTTAACACACTGCTGATACTTTGGGTTAACATAAACCCATGTACTTAATTCCCACAATTTATTTTGAACTTTTCATAGGAGGCAGAAAACATATAGGCTCGTAGTTGCGCATTCCATTAAAAGCGGCCACCCCAGAGCTTTTGGTTCAACTGGCCTCCCCTTGTTCTCACCATTTCCAGGGCTCCCCGTAGCACCCCACATAAGAGGTTAGAGTAAATAAGAGAGGAATGGTTGTCTGGCAATTCCACAAAATCCACCAGTGGATTGTTTTCCAAGATAAGGGAGAATTCGTCACCTGCCGGACTCCAGTTTGTGATGCTTGGTGTGATACCCAAGTACATTTTAAATGCTACCTATCAAGTGAAACAGAGATGAGAGAAGAGCTAGGTTCAAAGAGGGAAAGATTTAGTAAGCTACCATTTTTTACACATCAATGAGCAAAGGACCACAAAACAAACCCCAGCAATTCCTCAATGTAACATACTTAAGCAAATTCTTTTCCACACACCAGATGAGACAAGAAAATACTGATTTCGATAAGTAATCTCTGCACTATTATGTCTGATGCCTTCCTCTTCTGAAAGCAGTGGAAACATTTAGGACATTGCCTTACATTTTTAAACAGGAGAAAAGCCTTTCTGATTTTTTTTCCTGCTACAAAATTATCTGATCTTACTTAGCTTCTTGGTAACGAGTCAAAAAGACATCCAGCTTTGGTAATAAAAAAAACACTTTTAGTTTAATTATTATTGTTTCACTTCTGTTTTATTTAAAGGTAGAGACAATTCCGGGAAACGGCTGAAAACAAGACTAGAGTGAAATTTGTTTTGTGCAGAGAAAATTGTGTTCATAGTACATAGTTATAAGTTCAAGAAAATCTAAGATGATTTATCACCAACACTAGCAAACAACAAGCATGCAGAAACAAAGCCAAACAGTCAAAAAGAGGCATCACCTTTGCAATTACATCTGCCGTTTCTCGAAAGTCATGGCACCTCCCAACATTGGATCGTGCTAGAAAGTCTTCCACAAGCCGAACACCTATGTTGTAGCCCCTATTAAAGCAGCCAAAAGCAAGACGCCGTGAAACTGTGATCGCACAAAGCAGATTAGACCGAGGAGAAACATTCGGAGGCTTTAGAAATGAAAGCCACTGCTCACTTTTCCCAACATCCAGGATTGGGGGAAATTAGATTTATTCTGCACATGGACAAACCCACAGAAAAGGGCCTTCTGACATTTCTAACCTGAGAACACCCGCTTTGTTACTTACATTTTGTCAAGCTGCTTGTTGACATCTTCATCATTCTCGTAGTCCTTACACAGCTGAGTGACCAAAGCCCCATACGTCAAAGTGAAGAGCTCCGAGCTCTAGACAAAGTCATAACATATTTAGCATATACCAGACAACAACAAAAAAGGGTGCAAATATTTAGGGGCTGATCCAGGCACAGCTTAGTCTGTCACAAGAAAAAAATGGACAAGAAGACCCGCTTTACCAGAATAGCGAAGAGTGTGAATTCTGCACGGGCCGTAGGTTTTGAACGAGGGTGAGAAGAATAAATAAAACAACTCTGTCCTAAAGAAATGAAGAAGAAATGGAAAATGAGGAGACTTCTGCTTTTCCTTAGCATCTACGATTCTGCTATGACTTGACGTTGGCTACCAAAGAGACAGCCCATACATTCTAAACCAATCCTTAATATTCTTGGCGTGATAACTGCTCCTGGGTTCATTAATCAATGCTTGCTTGAGCAAGGATAGAATTTGGCACCTCAGGGGCATTTCTACAGAAGAGACAATGAAGCTTCTGGAACAAAGGAGTCCCATGCTCCCTACGGTCAGACCTGATCCATACTTTGGCTCAAACATTGGATCAGCAGAACTTTTCAGAGCAAACAATTTGACAAAATTGAATTCCTTGCTTTCAAGATGAAAATGGTCACTGACCAAAAAAACACACAAAACCTGACAGATTCCAAGTGTCCAACCCCGTATAAGAGTACTTTTTTTTTTACTTTCCTTGTTTCAATAATATTACACTTAAAAACTCAAAGGAACCACAAAGCTAATCAACTTTCAGCAGAAATGTAGACCCCATCAACAAACAAAGAGAAAAAAATACTTGCTGTATCTTCCCCCCATCTCTAAACTTGAAGAGAATAACCAATCCATTAGTTCTTGACTACACAAATGCCTTCCTATTAAGAGCTGAAAATGTCGAAATATATAAAGGGCCAGCTGTGTACATTAGTTAGTGCGCCCTGCTTAAGACTTCATTAAAATCTCATTTTATATAGCAGAAATGTCTAGTTTTCAGATTAAGAAGCCTAAAACCTACCATGAGATGCATAGATGCAGAAGGTGAAATGAATGGCAAATACCAATACTACAGAATGAATGCAGCAGGCAAGCAGAAAGGGAGAAAAAAAGAAGACATCAGAGTTTAGTGAGACAATAAAAACCACACCGCATTCTCACATGGTCATACCAAGCCAAAACACAAGAGAGAGCGTGTCAAGTCATATATGTGAAGTTACGGTTCATTCAACATGATGCTATTTCTACAGAGTAGCAATATTGAGGGCAGCAATCCAACAGTCAACACCTCTTTTTCTGAGGTGTTTTTTGTGTTTTGCCTGGTTTAGGTATTTTGCAACCAATGGCAGCACAAGGGGATTCCGGTGAGAAAAGTAGTGCATGGCAGAAGCCTCATTCACCCATATATATTTTTTTTGCATATGCCACAATATCCCACAGTGGTAGAGCTTGCACCACAATACTGCTTTTATTATAATGGGAGGGGGGAAGCAAGATCCTCTGTAAACTACCGCTTGGAATGCTGGTATCAAATGGATCCAAAGACACCATAGCCATCAGAGGATACAGAGAATTGAAGGTTAATAGGAGAGACCAGACTGGCCAAAGCTGCTGTATAGAATTAGAATTATAAAGCTACATAAAGTTGCTTTGTAGAATTAGAAAGCTTGGAAAGGGAGCCTCAAGATTCCTGTAACCTAGCTGATAACTGCAGCGTAGAAAAAAAGACAAAAATAAAGGAGGGATTAGTAACAACGCATATTTTAATAACCCATTGACAAGGCAGATGAAAAAAAAACAGTACATGACAGAATGGAACATGCTCAATGGCTAACAGTTCATTTCTGAACAGTTTGCCTATCCATAGCTATTAAAAAGAGAGAAATTATGCTTAACGTTCACAAAGGTTCACTGTTCTGGAGCAAAATCGAATGGTGGCATAGACTCAGAAGCTGCCATTTAGGCTACTGATGTTTGTTCGTTACAGGAATCCAAATCAAAACATTTGATCTGGGTCTGAACACATCCAACAAACAGAAGCTCCCTTTTGTGCAACATTATTGGTTCCAGGGTGAAACTGTTCTTATTGTCAAGAAAGTTCCACACTGCGTTCAATTACAATCTACCTTCCTGTAAGTTAAATCTGTTATTCCATGGCCTACTTTCTAGGATAATAGAAATCTAAACAACGTGGACTTTGAATTAGATTCGTTAAAGCCATCCTCCAACAAGATGAAAATCTGTCACAATTAGTAGCAAAGAAAGCAAAAGGAGAGGTTACACATGCTTGAGAGACCTAGTTGATTCTTATATGCCCTAATCACTACTATTTACTATTGAAGTAAAGAAGCACTTAGATTTTTATTAAACGCACCTCAGGTCAAGAGAGCTGTCAATAAAATCAGCATCACACCTTAATGTTAAAGAACTAGAATGATCTCAACTAGCAGGATTGCCCACATCACTAGGAGGGAGTCTCCTAGAGTATTCCAGAATCCATCAAATCCCTCAATTCTCTGTCTGGAATCCACTAGATTCATCAATCCTCTCTCCCTCATCCATATCCATGCAGAGGGAGAAGGAGCCAGCAGGCCTAAACTAAACAAGAAATTATGTGACTTGAGAAAAAATAGTTAAAAAAAAGTTTCTATTCAATCACCCTCCAAAATATGAAATCCAGGTGGGCCCTTCAACATTTGTGTTGAGGCAACCTCAGGCCCTAAACTGTATTATGAACATAGCAGTGACTAAGTAGGATCTGGCCAAGTGTCCATCTAGTCCAGCGTTTTATGCTACACAGTGGCTGACCAAATGCATTCATGAAACAGACAGGCATGGAAAGAAAGGAACAATTCCCTTACAATATGACAGAATGTAAGTATGCTACTAAGATTCAGGAGGCACTGCCCAATCCATAAGACTAGACACTATTCATTGCCTGATCCAGCATGCATACATCTAAAATAATATGGAGTCCACTACCATATCTGATGGCCTAACTATGAATTATATGGTCTTTACTGGTCTTGAATTTCTAGTTTCTAGTGCTGTAAGAGAGAAAAACATATCTTGGTCTACACTTGCTACACCAAGCAAAACATTTTATCACCTACAATGTCTACCTCAATTTGTCTTCATTCTACAGTATGTTAAAAATTCCTCAATATTGTAGTTTTTTGATATGGGAAGCTGCCATACCTCAAGCATTTTGATCACTCTTTTGCCCCCTGATCCAGATGACATTTGACTTCATCTCGGTTTGATTAGAGTTTGGTTTGCTTAATTTTATTGTATTCTATGTGTTCATACTTATTGTTCCTTGCGTATTGTCTCTTGCAAACTGTCTAGAGTCCTCAGGGATTTAGCTGCCTATAAATTTGATTAAAAAATAAACAGGGGCATTCCAAGTAGGGTACACTAACCCTTGGGAGGCACATTCAATTCTGACTTTAATTTATTTTTAAGAAACCTTTTAGGCAGTCGTACATCCTACCAACATTGTCTTTCAGATTTGATATATCTGGTGATTGTTTGTACTTCATAACTACAAAAAAGCATATTTTATAATTTTAAAAGTATTTCAGAACCATTCAGACTGTTCATCTTTTCACTATTTATGAAAATGATCTTGTGCACCAGAAATGTTAGGGAAACTTGCCTATTACTTTAATCAGCATTTCTAACTATATCATCTAGGTTTCCTAGTGTAATTTTGGGTTTGATTTTATTGTAATTTGTTTGCTAATTTCTTGTGAGAGACACAGAGTTGTTGAGATTGAGAGGGAGGACATAATAAACAATAAAATTAATGATTAAAACACCCTGATTACCTAGATGTGCAAAGGTATACAGTCTTATAACTCATCATGAAAATAATTGTAATTAGAATTAAAAACAGGAAAGGGACCCCACTTCCATAAATTAAGGAAACGCATACGGGATCAAGAGGAAAAATACAAAATGTAATAGCATTATTGCATGTTTGTAACAGTATAATAGGATAATAATATAAAGGGCAATGACATCATATAGGACAATATTACGTATTTGCAACTACATATTAATATATAATACAACATTTAAGTCAATCCTATATGAATGTTTATAATAATATACGGCAATATTATTATATATAAGCAATAGTGTAACATCATACAGGGCACTATTATTAAATCTAATAATACATGATACAACGTATAAGACGATGTGATGATTTCATGCTTGATATTTCTTCTTTTGACCAGATTGGGTAGGCAACCTTGGCTCTTTTATGACTCCTGGCTCAGGAATTCTGGGAGTTGAAGTCCAGGAGTCATAAAAGAGCCAAGGTTGCCTACCCCTGAGATAGACCTTTCTCTATTTAGCTAATTAAGGTCCCGTCCTCACATTTTAGGACCCTCCGGGCTTGCTCGAGTGCGGCCCGCGTGTCAGCCTCATCCCCACCACCTCTTTTTCACGGGTCTGCAAAGGCACCAACATTAGGCGGGAAACCCTGACGTGCAGCATTTATTCACGGTGGCCATTATAAACACAGCACTTGCCCCCCTTCAAGGCCCGCCAGGCAAATTCCCAGCGCCCGCCTTCCTTCGTCGGGACAGCCCCCCCAACCTTCCCCCCCGGCCCCGACAGCGGCCATTACCATTTTCTTGCTCTCGCCGCCTCCTCGGCTGCCCTGACGTGCCATTTTGCCGCTGCCGCCTCCGAGCCTCTTGCCCGGCCGGGAAGAAGAGCTCCGAGAGAAGAAAGCAGCCCTGCCTCCGCCTTGTCGCCTTCCTGAGGGAAGGACTACGACTCCCGGCATGCAGCTGGCGACAGGTAAGCTTAGTGCTGCGAGGGATGCCGGGAGTCTGCGCGAGAGAGAGGCGGAAAGGCGGGTTGTCCACCGCGCCTGCGCGGGCTTCCTCTGCAACGCTACTACAATTCCCGGCATGCTCGCGCGAGCTTAGCCCCAGGCAGCAGGGAATCTCAAGTTCCGGGGTCCCCATCGATGAGATCTAGCTGTTCCTTGTGCCCCAGCAGGTGTCATTAGTTGTTGTTGTTGTTGTTAGTTGCGAAGTCGTGTCTGACCCATCGCGACCTCAAAAATCTAAGACTGTTTTTACTAACCGCAAAACTGTCTAAATTGTTAATCTGTTTGAATAATTATCTTTCAGAAATGGCATGCGAGCAGGGGAATTGGCAATATTGAATGGCTGAGCGGAAATGTTTGTTGTCAGTGTTTCTGAACTCTTTGTATGTCAAAAGGTTTATGACTTACCCTGCAGATAGCAGCCACATGGACAATAGTGAAATGTTGGGAATTGGGACTCTCCCCACAATGTTTAATTTGTGGTTAAAGTTATATGGGATCTATGGAAAAGTTAACAAAGATGCTCCTTTTGGGAGAATGAGTACTTAATATTACATGTATTAACAGCTGCGAGAATAGCATTTGCCCAATTTTGGAAAAATGAAAATCTACCATCTGACCAGATTATAATAATAAAAATACTTGAATGTGCTGAAATGGACAGATTAACTTTAGAAATGAAAGAGAAAGAAGACTCAAATCTATTTTAAAACATGGGATGAATTTTACCAATGGGTAAGTAACACGATAGAATGAGAAAAGGTTATGAAATTTAATGGGATAATGGTTATTTTGTATTTAAATTTTATGTTTATTTCTATGAATTCTTTTTTCTTTTTGTGATTTTAACAATAATTATAACTAATACGCAATATATTAATGTGTTAAAGTTATCTGATTAATTAGTAATATAATTAGTAATATTATATCAAGTATTGTTATTTTATATTAATTATCATGATTGAATATGTATACCCAGACGGGTTTACTTGCTGAAGCGTTGATTCACTGTGGGGGATAACCCCACTATTGTACTGATCCTTCCCCTGGTCTAACCTTTTTTGTTTGTTACCCTTTGTTATACCCTTATTGACCCACTTCCCCTTTATCCTTATAAAATCTAATAAAATATTTATATAAAAAAAGATGCTCCTTTTGAATGTAGAATGGACTTGCACACTGGCGTGTGTGTGTGTGTGTGGGCTTCAGCTATACACTAGTTCAGGAGTGTTCAAACTTGGCAACTTTAAGACTTGTGGACTTCAACTCTCAGAATTCCCCAACCAGGCTGGGAATTCTGGAAGTTGGAAGTCCACGTATCCAAAAGGTGCCAAGGTTGGACACCCCTGCTTGCTGGTGAGTGCCATCTTGTCATGGTGTCCATAAGGACACCACTGTTCACAGAAGTCTAAAAAGGCCCATCGTAGTTGCTTAATGCATGACCACTGCTGAAGGAAAGATGTGGATCTGATTAGTGTCCAAGATATGGATCTGTCTGTTTTTCTTATGTTCATATGTGTGGACAGATAGTTTGCAATCGCTGGTTTCCTTCCGGAAGGCAAATTGGAATATTACCCGTTATGAATTGCCAAGTAGAAAAATGCCTCCATTTTTACTTATCTTCAGTTCTCCATGTTATATGGAATTTTAGACATCACTGTTGTTGTTGTTGTTAGTTGTGAAGTTGTGTCCAACCCATCGTGACCCCATGGACAACGTTCCTCCAGGCCTTCCTGTCCTCTACCATCTTCTGGAGTCCATTGAAGCTCACGCCTCCTGCTTCAGTGACTCCATCCAGCCACCTCCTTCTCTGTCGTCCCCTTCTTCTCTTGCCCTCCATCTTTCCCAGCATCAGGCTCTTCTCTAGTGAGTTCATTATTAGCATTTTAATAAAAGTGATATCAGCATTTTAGCATGGCATCGATGCCGCGTTTGAAGTTTACGAAACCATGTTTTTCCTGTGAACCAAAACAAATTCCTTTGATGTTCAAAAACTAGCTCTCTCAGGAACAATCAAACAACAGGGCTATAGTCAGAAGCCCTTGAATAAAGTTGCAAGTATTAAGAAACAAATCCAGGTGGGAAAGTAGAAGATGCAACATATTTTAAAGTTGTCTGTCTTTTCTCAAATCTAATGGCTCTTTATTATTTGATCTGTTGCTTTTTGACTCATTATATATATTGAGCGTATGTATCTTTTGTTTCTGTATCCTATCTAAAGGTTTCATCCTCAATAAAATGTAGTGTGCTTTGCCTGAAGTTCTTGGGATGGTGATGAAAAAAGAAAGAAAAATTGCATGTCTCTTTCCAGCTCTAGGCCAACTTGGGTGCCTGAGTTTTATAAGCCAAGACTCAAATTTCAAAGTGTGGTGAAATTCTGGAAAAAAAGTCTTAAATATCTACGCAAGGTAACAGACAATAGCAAGTATATGGTCTGGAAATACAGGAAAAAGCCAATTTTGCTTTAAGCAACTAGAAGTGAGGATGGCCAGTCTATTTTTCTACACCTTAAAGCCAGATGCTTCTCCACCATTCTAGAAAAGCATCACCCTCCAAAGGAACCTTTCCAGATGGGATGAATTTTATCTCTCTCTTTTTTGTCACTTACAAAAGATCAGTTAGGGATAAAAACTTAGCATAATTTTCTTCAAGTATTCACCCGCTGCAATTTGTGAGGAATGCTGGAAGCTGTAGTCCAGCAACAACTGAAAGGCCAGCAGCTGCAAATTAATTTAAAATATCCCCAATTAGAATACAGGTTTAGATATTCTTTTCAAGTGTAATGCTTGTAATAATGTAATAATTGCAGAAAGAATGACAACACGAGAGCATCAACTAAAACCAGGAAAAAAAAGCTCCATGCTTCAGACATTATTTTTTAAACATACAGATTTGACTAAATGTGAATGTATTAAAATTTATTGGGTTGCAACCTTATTTTGACATGGGTTCATCACTCAAATAGACACTGCACATTTAGAATTCTAATATTGCGAAATCACCCTCTTCTGTCAACTTGATTTAATAATACATTACTTCAACATCTTTGTAAAAGTTTGGACTTCACCATCTCATCACCGAGTTAATGTGTGTTAGCAATTTGGTCCTTTGGATATTGTGATCAGAAACGCTTATGTTCATTTAATATAAAACCATATCCTACCTGCTATTAAATACCCAACTATGAGTGCTCATTGGGAAAGTATAGTAACTGACCCATTCACAACAATATATGAGTCGAATTACTCTGAACTCAGACATCACAGTGCATACTGAACAATTTATTATTAATACATTGTTTTTACATAAGGTTATTCCAAAAATAATAATTACAAAATAGCAGAAAGTAATGGGCAACACACATGTGGATTAAGGCAACAGGCCAAAATGATACTTGCAATAGCTCAAAGCTGGAAAAAAAAAAACTAGTGGAGCTGGGTCCATTTCTCCCTAAGAGGGAGAAAATTGGCATTATGGGCATGGAGAAACATGGCTGAGCAGTGGGTAGGTATATTTGCAGGCCACATTTACTCTTGCTAAACGGTGGCATAATCATAAAAAAAAGTAGGCTGCTTCACCAGAAATCCAAAAGTTTTCTATTTTGCTATGCTTAAGCATTTGACAATGGCCCAAAGAGTTCACTGGTCTCTTTTACAATTCAGTGTTGCACTGACAGAATCTGTCTCATCTTAACAATAATGGCGGAATACAAAGGTGTCCCAGAATGCCGAAGATTCATATTACATGGACTTAGAATTACATTTTTCTTTGCCCTGGTCGCCTGCCCAAACAATCCTGATTTATAAAAAGGGCAATTTCAACAAGACCAACCCCCCAGCCTAGCTAAATTTCCGGCAAAAAAAAAAAAAAAAAAAAAAGATTACAGCATAAACACACGCAACATTGATGAGCAATCATCTAAACAAAATAGAAGTCAAGATTTTTCTTGAAAAGTATGCTCCTGATATCAAGGTTGTTACTGGTTTGGTTTGATTTTGAGGCATTCGCAAGTAACTTTTAGAGTGTGAACGCAATGCTGTTAACGATTATTTCTGCAGAACTACACTGCTGCTGAGATGCGTGGTATTAATTACTTCCTGGCTAATAGAAACCTCAAAAGTAAACAGTATAGGAAAAGTAAAAAAAGAGATAATGTCTCAGGGTTAATAGGCATATACTCAGCACGAAAAGGCAATTATTATTTTTTTTTTGCCATTACATCTGCTACTGCAATCGTTAGAATAATTAAAAAAAACAAAAACGAAAAGCTGGAATTTTCAAAATTTTACCCGCTTTTGAGGTACAGGAGTGTTATCTGCTTACCCCCCAATTTCACTCTGGATGACCTTTGAAGTAACTTTCAGAGCTTACAGTATTTTGAATTAACCTATCCTAAAATATCTAAAGTATAATCCACACAGTGGAGTTTTAATCATCTTAACAGTACCATTCCTTTTCCCAAACATTATTATGGCCCATGCTTATTTGGTCCTGGTTTAAGGGAAAACGCCGTGTAGTGTCAAGCACCACAAGGGATATGATGAAGAACTTGGCATGTGTTCACTGGACATTTTGATTCCGCGCCCCGCCCCACCCCCCACCCCCCCAATCCCATATACAACTTTGGGAACAACAACAACAAAAATCATCTACAGCACCATCTTCTAAAAAGGCACTTTGAGGACTGTTTTGCTTTCAATAAACCAACCACTTCATGGCAGAACTATCCTGCAAGGAAACAGGTCTCGGGGTGATCTACGGGCCAGAGGTAATTCAGACGTGGTTCTCATATGGATATGAACTAGCACAGGGGTAGTCAACCTTGGCTCTTTTATGACTCGTGGACTTCAACTCCCAGAATTCCTGAGCCAGCTAAGCTGGCTCAGGAATTCTGGGAGTTGAAGTCCACGAGTCATAAAAGAGCCAAGGTTGACTACCCCTGAGCTAGCACTACAC